AGAATTATTTCACAGAAAACAAGATTAATATACAAGAAGCCAAGGATGAAATCATGAGCCATATAAGTCAGATACAGAATATTGCAATGGAGGAACGAGAACAACTCCCAAAATTACAACCAACAAAGCATAACCTCAAAACTATTAAGCTCTATAATGCAGCACTCAAATTGATTCTGGATGAAGAAGACACTCATATAAATCTCAATGAAGCAATATATGCATCAGCAATAGCAGCAACAAATAAACTGAACATCAAAGTAAAAAAAAGGCAGTCTCACAGACATGAAGATCCACCTTGAAAAAAAGAAAAATAGAAAAAAGAAATTGAACACCTTAGAAGTGAATTATCAGTACTCGATGAACTAGCAAGAGGAGTAAATGTAAGAACTAGAAAAGGCAGAAGAGTCGAAAGAAAATACAATATCAGGAATGAAAATGAAGTCCTATCAACTAAAGAAAAAAAATAAAGCAAACAATACAACTGAAGGCTCAAAGAATAAGACGCTACGAGGAGAAAAGATCAAGATTCTATAGACAGAACAAGATCTTTCAAACCGATGCAAAGAAATTTTACAGGAAATAGGTAAACAAAAGAATTGAAGTGACAGTCCCCCTAAAATGGAAGAAGTTATACAGTTCTGGGGAAAAATATGGGCTTGCCCTAAAGAACACAACGAAAAGGCAGATTGATTGCGCAAGAGTTAGAACGAATGAAAAATAAACCAGAACAGACATGGGCGGGAATCACAGAAGAAGATGTTAAATGTGCACTGAAAAAAGCACACAACTGGAAATCTCCAGGAATAGATAAAATCCCTAACTTGGCTATATTATTTAAATACAGCACACAAAAAACTCGCCAAAGAACTTCAAGAAATGGTTACCGATCCAACTAAAATTCCTGCATGGATGACCAAAGGAGTTACCTTTCTTCTACCCAAAAATAGTGACACAAATATTCCGAAAAACTATAGACCAATTACATGTCTTCCAACAACATACAAACTGTTAACATCTATTTTAACAAAACAGACATATTTCTTCTTGGAAAGAAATGACATACTACCACTTGAACAAAAAGGGTGCAAAACGAGGCTGCTACGGATGTAAAGACCAATTACTTATTAATAGGATGATCCTGGAAAACTGCTTCCGTGAAAAAAAAAAATCTTAGTATTGCCTGGATAGATTATCGTAAAGCATTCGATAGTGTACCACATTCCTGGATCTTAAAGTCTTTAAGTATGTACAAGGTATCACCCGTTATCATCAATTTCATCAAACAATGTATGTCGATATGGAAAACTACACTTTACCTCAATCATAAAAAATGGAACCTATAAGTCTGGCGAAATAAACATCAATAGGGAATATTTCAAGGTGACTCTTTGTCTCCTTTATTATTTTGCATATCACTTATAGCATTAACCAGCCAACTTAACAAGACAGAATGCGGTTACAAAATAGCTCAAAAGAAAATAAACCATCTATTTTACATGGATGACTTAAAATTGTATGCTAGGAATGACAATGAGCTGGAAGGTCTTCTGCAAACTGTAAAATGCTTCAGTGAAGACATCGGAATGAAATTCAATTTGGATAAATGTGCTAAAGCTACAGTTTTACGAGGATCGCTACAACAAACTTCCTCTATTAGTTTAGACCCTGCTGTAACAATAAAAGATTTAGAACAAGGAGAAGCTTATAAGTACCTAGGTGTAAATGAGAGTGAAGGAATTCACCATAAGAAAATGAAAGAAATAGTGCGTAAAAGAGTACTATAGAAGGGTACGACTGGTATTAAAAACTGAATTGAATTCTCAGAACAGAATTATGGCCATTAATAACCTAGCCATCCCAGTGGTCCAATATAGTTTCAACATCTTGAACTGGACTCTAAATGACATCAGACAAATGGATTCTAAAACAAGAAAGCTTCTTTCTAAGTATAAGATGCATCATCCAAAGGCTGATGTAGACCGTCTATACATACCCCGTAAAGAAGGTGGAAGAGGTCTTATTCAGCTAGAATTGTCATACAAGACAACAACTATTGGCTTACTAACTTACATGGAAACAACAAATGACTGGATGATAAAATTAGTGAAACAACATGAAAACAGAAAGAAAAAAATATTCAATAATAAAAGAAGGCAGTAAATACAAACAACATTTACATTTAGTAGATTCTGTAGTAAATCAAAACAGAAGCCAAGAACCAACTATTGCAGCAAAAGATATGAAAAAAGAAAGCCAAGGATAAAGCCCTTGAACAGATGAAACAACGCTGGCAAGACAAACCTCTGCATGGCCAATATCCAGAACGTGCAAATAAACCCAATGTTGATAAAGTTAATACTCATCGATGGTTACGAGCATCTGGATTAAAGTCTGAAACTGAAGGCTTTATTCTTGCAGCGCAAGACCAGAGTCTTTTCACTAGGAATTTTCAGGCAAATATCATACATAATAATGTGGATCCAAAATGCAGGTTCTGTGACAAATACCAAGAAACAATAGACCATCTAATCTCAGGATGTTCTATACTTGCCCCAAATGAATATAAAAATCGTCACGATAGAGTGGGGCAATACTTACACTGGACAATGTGCAAACACTTTGGAAAATGTGTAAGCAAACACTGGTATGAACATCGGCCAGCGCCGGTTACAGAAATAGAAGATGTCACCATTCTATGGGATTATACCATCCACACAGACAGAAAAATTGAAGCAAATAGGCCGGACATTATTGTCAAAAACCAGAAAGAAAAAACTTGCCTACTAATTGATATGGCTTGTCCAGCGGATTGTAACATAGCAACCAAGGAATTTGAAAAACTATCAAAATACAAAGACCTGGAAATTGAAATAGAAAAAAAAATGTGGAAATTGAAAACAAGAATAATACCAGTGGTAATAGGTGCACTTGGAATTATAAAAAATGGAACAAAACAACACATTGAAAGAATCCCTGAAACCCCAGCTTAAGAGACATACAGAAAATTGTCTTATTAAGTACAGCACACACACTAAGGAGAACTTTGTCTATGTAACGCTAGCAACTTCATCGGAGATAAAAAAAAAAAAAAAAAAAAAAAATTAACATGAAATGTGGCTATAACAACACACCACGACCTGCCTTAGGTCTTTCCGCAGACTTGGTAGGTAGTGTGTCCATAGCAGAAATCGAATGATGATGATGATGACATTAATAAAAATAATAATAATATACTAAAATATTGTGTCAGCCCAAAATGCAGATTCTGTGATAAATATCCAGAAACCATTGATCATCTTGTATCAGGTTGTACGGTGTTGGTACCCACTGAATATAAAACCCGACATGACAGAGTGGGCCAATATCTGCACTGGAAAATTTGCAACTTCTACGGGAAGGAAACTGAAAGAAACTGGTATGAACACCACCCAGACCCGGTTACGGAGATAGGACCTGTTACAATTCTATGGGATTACACAATACACACTGACAGAACAATCAAGGCCAACCGGCCAGATATTGTTATTAAAGACCAAAAACAAAAACGGTGCCTCCTTATTGATATGGCAGTCCCTGCTGACTGCAATGTATCTTTGAAGATATTCAAAATGCTGTCAAAATACAAGGAACTTGAAATAGAAATCTCGAAAATGTGGCATATGGGAACATCAACAATCCCTGTTGTAGTTGGAGCCCTAGGACTGGTTGGAAAAGATTGCACTAGACTAATTGAAGGTATTCCTGGGAGTCCATGCCACAAGGAGATACAAAAAATTGTTCTGACAAGTACAGCCCACACCTTACGAAGGGCTTTATCTATGTAATTAAATATATATATTTTTTTTTTTGGTCAGTGGAAAATGTCATGACGCCATCTCTAACCTTAGGTCCCTGGGCGGGACCCGGAAAAAATGCGTAAACACCAGAAATCAAAGTAAATAATAATAATAATAATAATAGTAGTAGTAGTAGTAATGATGCGATTTTAAGTTTGTTTGTTTCTTAGTTTCTTTTACAAAAACGGTCAGTGTCAAATGTCATGAATACATTTCTGGCCTTAGGTCTCTGGTTGGGACCCTGTCGGAAATGTGTATAAAGCAGAAATACAATGTAGTAGTAGTAGTAGTAGTAGTATTAAAATTAGTAGTAGTAGTAGTAGTAATAATAATAATAATAATAATGAATACGAAGGTCATTGAATGATATTTAGCTGTATAATGTCGCTGATACTTTCAGCAATATAACGAAAGCGATCTTAAATATTTCATTGTTACAGTAGCCTTCTGCTAGGTAAAGCTTTGCAAAGCGGCTACAGATGAAAGTTAGATCAATGGAATATTTTTAGAAAATATTTCACGCTATTAACTACCTTGTGAATAAGTTCTTTTTGGATAATAAATGGAAGGGACATATTTTAGAATTTGATAAAAATGATTGTATTAAGGAGACAATTATTTCCTTGTAAGATATTTTCGAGCGTGTTTTAATTTAAATCTTGAGAAAAACGATCTCCATTTTTTATTCAGCAGAGAGTCAGTTTAAAAATGCCAAAAGGCGCAAAAAGACTGAATTAAAGGCGGAAAACGAATTGAAAGGCAGAAAAAAGAATCAAGAACGAAACAAAGGAAAAATAATATATTTGGTATAATATCGGCAGATGTACCATAGTATCATTTAAAATCGAATATATATATATATATATATATATATATATATATATATATATATATATATATATATATATATATAGATAGATATAGATATAGATATATATATATATATAATGAAAGAAAGGAACAAAGAGAGAGAGAGATAATTCTTTTGAATAACTATTCAAATCCATTTGAATAAACAAAATATTTCTTATAATGTTTCATTATTAAAGAGAATCCAGTCGTGTGTTGAAAAAAAATCTATTTTGTCGCAGGTGCAGGAATTGCATAATTGATTTGAAGTAGGTATGATGGAAAACTTGATGTAGCTTATTATTCTAATGCTTACGGCCATATCAGGTTGAACCACCGATTCTCGTAAGAATACAACACTTAAGCCACGTTGAGCCTGGTCAGTAATTCGATGGTTAATCCCTTGGGAATACCAGCAGCTGCAAGCTTTGATGTGCGGGTGGTTTAATGGATAATGGCTCGGAAATGTTCAACGGAGGACGGAGTTCCAATTCCCGATGCTTTAGTTGTATACACATTTTGGATAAATTGCATTAGAAAAGCTTGAATCCACGTCTACTCATCCTGTAATAATTAATGAGACTTCTATAACTAAATCATTATTATCACTGAATTAAAAAAAATCATAGAATCTAAAATTAAAATAACATGCAAATGAATGATGTTATAACTATATATGTATATATAAGTGATTATTTTGGGGAATTAGACTAATCATATAGTAATTCGTTTAGCCTGGAATAATGCAAAATGCAGAAAAGCACTGGACGGCCGTTTCGTTCTATCTGGGACTCATCAGTATGCGCATATATATATATATATATGTGTGTGTGTGTGTGTGTGTACGCGTGTGTGTATAAATATATGTATATACATATATATAAATATATGTATATTTTATGTATATATATGAACGTATATATGTATTTATGTATATATATATGTATATATGTATATATACACATATATATATATGTTTATATATGCATATACATATGTATATATATGTATATACACATATGCATATATATGTATACATATATATACATATGTATGTATATATATGTATATATGTTTATATATATGTATATATGTATTGTGAGACCGGAACTACCTACACAATAGACTCTTCGAGGTCTATATTAAGTATGCGACACAACACTCTAGACAGAGAGATAGAGTGACAGTAAGAGCCGCGTACGACTACCAGTATTGGACACTAACATATAGTAAGCTCCGCTTACACTATCTCTGTAACGTGTTGTTAATATATCTTTCTTACATCTAATCCGTGTTCCGTGTTTTCCTTCTGTGGTCGCAACTTTGGCCCCACATCAGTGACGACGTGTATTCTAGAAACGCACTCACGGCGAAATCTCAATACCTTACCAGTTTCACATCTGTGTTGATGAAGAATTCGAGAAACGCGTTCACGTCGAAAAGCCGCAATACTTTTTCAGTCCCACAACAGTGGCGACAGAAAGATTCGAGAATTTCGTTCTCACCATATCAATAGCGACAGTACTCGAAAAAATACACAAACTACACGAGTTCCCACAGCAGCGTTGAACGAGAAATTAAACTGGTATTACTACATTAGCGATTTAAACGCAACACCCAGCGTCTACATCTAGAAAAAAATAATATATATTACAATACCAAACATCAGTGACGAACTAGCGATTCGACATCTACGGAATATTAAAGTCTGTCCAAATAACATTACGAGAACGATTTCTTACACACCCACACATTTTTTTATGTAACTGAGTTGAACTCGTGCATAAAATTATTCTCCCTTCAAATTCACTGAGGCGAGTTTTTCTTTTTTGTACCGCTATACAAAAAAAACAAAAAACAAACATAAGTGTGGTGAAAATTGATACAATTACGTTAAAATTAACGGAACCACGGAATTGCAAATAAGCTAAACACATAATTAGTTTAGTTTAACTAATTGTCTGTCCATATTTACTGTTTGTGTAAAAAAAAAAAGAAAAAAAATACCTATCAAGATTTTTTTGTGTACCTCCCCTTGGCACACGGGTTTCAAAGCAACATAAAATCGCTTTCATTTTTGTTTGCCTAAATATGGAAGATTTTCAAAAAGTAATTGCCCAAATGCTAAAGGCAAATTTGGATCAGCAACAAAAAGCAGAAGAAAGAAAACAACAACTATTTTTGGAATTACATAAACAACAAATGGAATTCCAACAAATTACGCTTCAGAATGCTGAACTACAACAGAAACAACTTAAAGAATTACTCGTAAATGCATTAAAAGGCTCAAACTATGAAAAAGATACAATATTCTCCCAGAGTAAAATCTACAATTCAATAGAAACATTTGAATGCGTACCAGAGAACGACAAAACGTTCGACGCTTTATACAGGCGCTACGAAGATATTTTCAACGTAGACTGTAAACAATGGTCCAGTAAAAAGAAGGTACGTCTTCTATTGAGAAACCTGGGAACTACAGAACATAGTAGGTTCGTAGACTTCATACTACCCAAGAAAACGACTGACTTGGATTTTTCAGAGACTATTAAGCTCATATCGGAACTATTCGGGCCGAACACAACCTTGTTCCACAAACGTTGGAAATGCCTTAACACATTCAAAGACAAACAGCAAGATTTTCTAACGTTTGCAGCATCGGTAAACAAGCTCTGTAATGATTTTAAACTAGCCGAACTGACTGCCGATGATTTCAAGTGCTTAATTTTCGCACAAGGTCTAGTATCAGCAGAAGACGCCGAAGTCAGACGACGGGTACTGACCAAGCTTGAGAACGAACAAGGATTGACTCTCCAAAAACTGGCAAACAGTAATATCTGTAAAGTGTGACTCAAACACTATCGAGGAATCAGGTGTGGCTCAGATTAATAAAATCAGAAGCAAGTCTACCGCCTATTCCCCTCAAAAAGACAAAAGGCAAATCTCATGTCCTAAATTACGCAGTAACTAAAGACCCAAATACGTTAAAGAAACCGCCCGGACCATGTTACCATTGTGGTAAATGGCATTGGATGAAATTCTGTCCAGTTAAGAACAAAAAATATTGCAAAAATTGTAATAAAAGTGGGCATACTTTAACTTCGTGCTGGTACGCCAACAGAACGAGAAAACCCAAAAATAAAATTAGGCAAGCTCAATCTGACAATATTGTCGATAGGAATTTAAGAAAATATGTAACTGTGGATATTTTCAATAATTCCATTAAATTCCAGCTTGACTCGGGTTCCGATCTTTCAACCATTAACTGGCGTACTTGGCGAAAATTGAAGAAGCCGATCTTATTAAAAACGGATAAAACAGCAAAATCTGTAACTGGCGAAAAGATTAACATTTTAGGTGAGGTAATACTTACAGTAACACTAAATGGAGTTACCAAAAAACTCAAAGCCTACGTATTAAAAACTTCAGATAACTTATTTGGAACTGATTGGATAGAAAAATTCAATCTTTTGGGATTGCCCAATGAATACATTTTGTCGCAAGATACAAAGTACAACGTCCAATTTGGTAAATCTAAAAAGGAACTCAAACAACAATTTCCCCCAGGTTTTTCTGGCGGCCTTTCAAGATAGAGTTCCTAACATCCAAAAAATATTTGCCATGCAGACAGTTTATCGCGACTCATTCCCAAAAATACAGAAGTCTTTGAAAACTCCAACATTGCTACTCTAAGGACAAATTGTGAAATCAAAAACATGATGGCGAGTACCATAAGAGAGCTCCTAGTTACTTTGGCCGACATAAAAAGGGAGTCTCGAGAGGATGAATTCATTCAATCCATAAAAAGCAAAATTCGAAACAAAGACCCCAATGTGCCTGAAGTTTTCTCCCTCTGCGATGATGTCATACTATATAATGACCGCGTAGTGATTCCAAACAGCCTACAAAGAAAAATCATCAGGGATTTTCACATGGAACATAAGGGGAAGAACCGTATGAAAAGCCTCATGCGCTGCTATGTTTATTGGCCAAACATGGACAAGGACATGCAACAAAAGCTCCAACCACGACGTGCAAGCCATGTCCAAACACAGACCATCCATGGCAAAGAATTCATATCGATTTTGCAGGGCCTATAGACAACATGTACTACCTCATTGTTGTGGATAGCAACTCAAAATGGCCTGAGGTCCTACAATGCAAAAGACCGACCACAAACTGCACGATCAGATTTCTACACGAGCTATTCGCGCGTTTTGGCGTGGTAGATTGTGTAGTTACAGATAATGGCACTCAATTCACATCAAGTAAATTTAGAGACTTCTGCAAGTCATATCAGGTGGACTACATTACAACACCTCAGTACCACACTAGGTCGAATGGCCAGGCCGAAAGGTTCGTGGACACTCTAAAAAGGGCTTTAAACAAGGCACTAGGCACACCGACAGATAGAGCATTGTAACAGTTTCTGCAAGTGTATCGGATAACCCCTAATCCGAACACGCATATGGGAAGCTCGCCTGCAGAAACAATGTTCGCAAGGAAAATCAAGTCTGTCTTCGAAAAAATTATCCCACAAAAAGGAAGTTCAAAAACACCGTATCGCCTCATAAGAAATATTTCAATCCTGGCGATAAAGTCTTTTTCAAGGCTTACAAAAACAATATAACATTCTGGGAAGTAGGCACCATAAAACAAAGAATTGGCGAACTGGTCTATATTGTCCAAGGACCGAAAAACACTCACAAACGCCATTGGAACCAGCTCAGAAAATTCCGTTTAAAGGAATCGGAAGAATCACTACAAAATAACTGTGAAGAGCCGATCGACGTAATTTTCGATCACTTCGATCTCGACATGTCTCAAGTCTCTCCTGGAGTGCGACGCTCAGGGAGGAAAAGAAGATTTACTCAACCGCTCGACGTAAATCCCAAGAGGAAAAAGTATTAACAGTTTAATTTTTTCTCTCCTTTTCGAAAAGAAAACTCTTGGAAGGGGGTATTGTGTGACCAAATCTACGTAAACAATAGACTCTTCCAGGTCTATATTAAGTATGCAACACAACGCTCTAGACAGAGAGATAGAGAGACAGTGAGAGCCGCGTACGACTACCAGTATTGGACACTAACATATTAGTAAGCTCCGCTTTATTATCTCTGTAACCTGTTGTTAATATTTGAAAAAAATATATATATAATTTAAACATACAAATATACAATACACAGTCTATGATTTTTTTTAAAATCTAGTGATAATAATGATATATATATATATATATATATATATATATATATATATATATATATATATATATATATATATATATACCGTGGCGATGTAGTTAGAAAGTTCGTTTTCTGTCCATGCGTGCTTGCTATGGAACGTGACTACTTGATGTTATCGATTCTGGGAATGCGATCCCATTGTGCCTCAGTTTTGGAAAGCGCATGCTGAGAATGAGATGT